TCAATCCACCCAGAAATGCGGAAAACAGTACCGAACGTAGAAAAGAGCCCAACGAAGAACAAAGTTGATCGCTTATGCCCGCACGTTCACCTAGGTAGTAGTACCTACCGGTACCTACCTACTCCGTAATCTCGGTAAACAAGCAGCGCGCACTGACCTACCTTACCTTATTACGTGCCTTACGTACCTTGCCTTACCTTAGGTACCTTACCTTACCTCACCTCACCTTACCTACCTTACCTCTCGTATTAAGTACTACGTATCTTTCTTTCGTTCCATTCTATTTATAACCCGACCCCAGCCGCGCTAAGCCAAGCCAAGCCAAGCCGTCTCACATCTTTCTCCCATCTCCCCCTCGTCTTTCCCTCCTCTACCGGTAGGTATCTCCTTTCCACCATTCCTCCTCTCCCTTCTCCCTTCTCCCACTCCACAAACCAGAAAGAAACATCGTCGATCCCTCATCACTCATCACTCACCACTCATCATTCATCACTCATCACTCTCCTCTAGCGAATCGGCAACCCGACCCGACCCGAACCCGGCTTTTTCCAAAAAAAAAAAAAAAAAAAAAAACTTAACAGAGTACTGAAAGAGACAACCCACCCCAGCCCACCCCACCCCAGCCAACCCCGCCTCCTTATTTCCTCCCCAGCTCACGCTCACGCTCACGCCCACGTGGCAGATACCTCGTAGAGAGATACTACGTACGTAGTACGTACTACGTAGCTGCTCTAGTACCGGTACTCCTCCGTATTGCAGAATACTACACTTTCGTAATCCAGATACTGACCAGTACCACTACCTACCACTACCCACCACCAAATAAGTGCGAGACAGCAAACCAATCCAAACCAATCCAACCCCAACCAAACCAACCCAAACCAAACCAACCCAAAAGCTGCACACAAGCCTGCCTGCCTACCTACATCTACCGGTATCATCTATCTATTTTTAGCACCAAACATCGCAAGTAATCAAGCAAGTAATCACCGAGCCCCGCCAAGCCCCGCACAGCTACCTAAAGTAATACTACTAAGTACCTTACCTACCGGTACCTACCTACCTACCACACCACACTCACTGAATACCGTACCGGTACATACCCGTACCGCTACCCGTACCGGTACTTACCGCTACCCGTACCGCACAGTATATTTTACTTTCTGCTCGTGTAAAGAGAAAGAGAAAGAGAAAGAGAAAGAGAAAGAGAAAGAGAAAGAGAAAGATAAAAATAGAGATAAAGATAGAGATACTTTCTCCTCGGGGTTTCAGGAGGGTCTTGAAGATACTTTTGACGGACCGTGCTTACGCTGCCGTAGACTACGGTACGGTACAGTAGGTAGGTAGGTAGGTAGGTGCTGAGGTGCCGGTACGGGCGGTGCTTATTGGGTGCTGAGGTACTTGGGTACTTGGGTACTCTGAAGGGGGAGGAGGAGGAGGGGGAGTGCCTAATGATAGTTATAGAGGTAGTAGTAGTAGTACCCAATACTAGTAGTACTCAATAGTAATACCAATACCAATACCAATACTAGTACCCAATCCCAATATCAATTATCAATAATAGCACTAGCACTAGCACTAGCACCTACCTACGTAACAAACAACACTACCCAATCCCAATCCCAAGCCCAATACCGTGCCACAACCCAACACCATCCACCCACGCACCCAATAGCAGCAGCAGCAAAAGTAAGCTGATACCTACTTACTACTACTTACTTACCTCCCTACGTACTAGTACCTACCTCCCTACGTACCTACCAAACCAGCCCGCCCAAGCAAACAATCAATCGCAACCCACACGACGTCACCACCCTGTAACGTGAAAAGGCGTTGGAGAACCGCCCCCCCTCCCTCCCTTTGCGGCGCGGGCGTGATTGATTGATTGGTGCGTGGCTGGGTTGGGTGGGACTGGAATCTTTGGACTGGCCTGCTGGCCTGCTGGTACTGATACTGGTATCTATCTCTCTCCCTCTCCC